TATACCAAAACTAATAATCACTCAAACAAAAATTACATGCACTTCAACAACTGGTATTATTTTACTCAATAGAAATCGTGAATGCGCACTGCTGAGGAGTCCCATAATAGGACGGAACGGTCGTCCAGTGCTTCTAGGTTTTCCATGGTGGTCTAGCTTCAACTGACTCATGATCCTAATCATTGAAATTACTACAATCTCCACAAAACCCCTTCTGACAGAAATCTAAATCCTGAACACCATCTATGGAAAAAACACTCCTGCTTATGCATTTAATTCAATAATAAATACTACTAACCTAAAACCATAATAAATACTAATGAAAGTCTACTGATGACATTTCATTTATTATTTACTGCTTCGAGATATTATTGTGGCTATTTTCAAATGTTTCAAACAGATATTTTTTCGCACTTTATGTGTACAAATAAGGATTCATTATCAAACAAAAATAGATCAAAATCTATGTCTAGCCAGTGGAAAAATTTGAATCTTGTAGTACTAAACATCCACTAACCCATGACTCAAAGCATTTATGAAATTTACATCATAAAATGAAGCTACTATAACCAACAAATATAATACAACTTATCAGGTTACTTACTCCTTCCTCTTCTATTAAGTGTACAAATGTGATTAATTTTTTCTGTTACAGTATTAAACTTTTATTGTTGTGCTTCATATAATTACAAAATCATCATGATTAAATACCTTAAGAAGTTAAACGATCATAGGATAAGGCCGAAGCACCTCCTCCCACAAAATGCTGTGTGATTATTACCAAACAAAATAAATATGCCAACAATTTTAGGTCTTTTTCATTACAATATGTATTCTCCCGATCTGATAAGTTTGTAAATTTTTAGTCATTAGAGGTTATGATATCATAAAATTTGGAATTCTTTCTAGCCATGATATGAATTTCTTATGACTTATGTATCTTTATTACAATGAGTACGTTATACATTTTGGAAATAATCCATAAACATGATAATGATGATATAAATACTTAGATAATAAAAGTAGTTTGTCCTGAAAAATCCAACACAAACTAACTGTACAGAAATGATTGCTAATTTATTCCAATCTAGAAGAAACAGTCTGTAAATTTCAGTTTAAACGACAAGTGATGGTGGGAAACATAAAATCCAATTACTTTTCGATCATATGAAAGACGTAAACAAAGAATAAACCCAATTATAAGACAAAAAATGTCTGTGAATTCACAATCTTAACTGCCAATCGAGTGACAGTACACATTTTAAGAGTTTACGAAAATGGTGTAGTGGTAAATAACTCCCTGAGCTGAATATTTCCGCAAGTATTCAACATTGGTGCAGACGTCACTAGTTTTACGGAACACATCCTAGCTGAAGGCGCTCGGTTACGCATCCGCACCATATCACGTGTGGGTACGCCGTGCCATACATTCCTCGCAACTAATGTTCAGCTCAGATCAAACGCTTCTCTACATATCGACCACTCTCTAAATATATCTTCGAACTCGTGTCCAACTTATGATCGTTACCTTTCAACTATAAAAGTGTTACGGACAAAAGTGTTGTCAAACCCTAGAAATCTGCCGGATCTTTAAAGGTTTTGTATGACAAAACAAATTACACATCTACTGACTAGCATTATAGAGGAAACGCATTCCTCTTCACACATAAGAAATCGGTGTCTGCATATTAAAAGCAGAATTCAAGAGAGATTCCCAATACCACTTTTCAAATACCACAGTAAAAAATATATTATCCACCATGTCAATGACTTTTGATCATTTCAACAAAATATGGGATTTTAGAAGGTGATGACAATCTCTCAAATAACGAAGACTGATAATATTTCCCCCCAATTGTTTCAAACAAGTACGACGGATCCACCATATGGTTAATTATCTTTAGATGGAATTATCACGTTCAGTTGAGGTGGTGGGTCCTTGAGGATGAATTTGGCGACCGAATGATTTTTAGCAATTACTCCTGTTAATCCTTTGTTCTAATTCTCTCTGAAATTTTTCACTTCTACCAAAAATACTGACATTTCAGGAATATTCAGATTAACATTTTATATGGAATAGTTCAAAACTACCTGAAGAATCTCTTATTCAGAGAAGTGTGAGATTGTTCTACACATTAAGCTTCACACCTCTTGGCGATAAATTTAAATGTTACTCCGTTTAGTTAGGACTGTTGAACAACGATGTGACCTGATTTTTGCGTTTCATAAAATTCAAACCGTTTGAATTATTTTTAGCTTGTGGAAATAGCGTTTAGCATGAGAGATTACTGATCCTTACTTGGAACTATGATTTAAAAAAAGATTGGTCAGTAGTGATCAACAAGTATCAGCAAAAGTAACCGGATTAATGTTTTCAGTTGGATAAGATGTCTTGGTATATAGAGTATTTAACGGTAATGTTAACAATTTATTCTGTGAATATGATAATCGTTAACTAATTGATTGTATCAGAGGGGATTGTGTGGAGATCTTAGAAACTTCACTGGTTGAAATCATGAATCCATTGAAGCTAGACCACCATGGAAAAACCTGGGAGCACTGGACGGCCGTTCCGTCCTAGTATGGGACTCCTCAGCAGTGAGCATCAACCATGAAATTTCTAAAATCTCCACACAATCCCTTCTGGTAATAATAATCATCTGCTCACTAGTGACTGATTTCAAGAGATACTCCTGGAGTTCTAGTGAGAAGCCGTTACCAGTGGAGTTCAACCAGGTCTGTTGTGAGATATCAGCTCACTGAAGACAATGGTGTACGGTGGCGCAACTTCGTGGATTGGCTGAAGTTAGACATTAACACCGTTGGATGCCGGCTCAGTGGTCTAGTTGGTTAAGCGCCTGGCGCGAGACCAATAGGTCCTGGGTTCGAATCTCGTCAGGAGCGGGATCGTGGATGTGCGCTGCTGAGGAGTCCCATACTAGGACGAAACGGCCGTCCAGTGCTTCCAGGTCTTCCATGGTGGTCTAGCTTCAATGGATTCATGATTTCAACCAGTGTAATTGATTGTATGTCTACAAATTTATGCAATATTCAATACAGTGAATGTCACCCATTTTTATTTCGTAAATTTATCCATTTTTGTATATTAAGACTAAGATATTCATCCTGGGAATAATCTGTATCACTAAGCAAACTCATTTTAAATGATGGAATATATGCTAGGAAATTGTCGATATGATCTTTCAATCAATGAACACTAAACTGTGGCATTGATTGTATACCGTTAACTGATTAGCGTATAAGGCACAGTTCAACCAGGGAAACTAGCCATTTATATGAATTTCGCACTTCCCGAAGTTTATTCTAAAACTAGTAGCATATTTACTCTACAACACTGTCTCATGGAACGGACATAAATTAAACACTTCAAACAATAAAAATAACGAGTAAGCAATCAAGGGGATCAATTGAATATCCTCCAAACTGTAATAAAATATTATCGAAGACTTTTAACAGTACGTTACAGGAAACCGATTTCTTAAGCATTGCGCAGTATGTAGCCTTATCCTCTGATAGTAACGTTTACATTAAAGATAAATAAGAGTATATTGTAATGTAAATGCATTGTGCGCTCTAGAGATCGGACGCTTTTCCAGGTTCATTCTGAGAGAATACTCAGGACAATCCTATCTGAAATTGTTGAAAACACTCACATAAAACATTTTGACCAAAAGTGTAATTGTGATAAGAATTGAACACTAACGAATCCCCGTCGCACTGAGTATTAGGCCAAACAAGACTCTCATTTTCAAACTTAGATTACCAGGTTTAGTCCAATAAGCTGTCTTTAATTGAATGTTAGAACATACTAATGATTGAAGCTATATAAGGTCTAAGGACATGATTCTAACATTTTCGGTTGATATATTTAGTGTAATTTGTGACACATTCAGGCAACATCCTGTAATGTAGACGGAAACGGAGTATTCGTGGTTTAAAATGTTGTTGAAAATAAAAAAGCAGCTGAGATTTTCCAACTAGTTAGTTACTAGTAATCGAATAGCCAAACAATCATTGGTAAAATTTACAATACATGGCACAAATCCATGAAGTCACTGACAATTGGACTGAGCCACGTTGGTAGGTGTAGACTATATGGTTGGGGACCGCGAGATGATAGCAACCGATGGTTGGAGACCTTGAATGACATGGCTCAAAATCGTTTGCGATGGTGCAGGTGCATCCACTCTTTGTGTTCTCCCAAATTCTAATCTTCTGAACTCTTCATGTCCCTTTTTTCCTCTCTTCAAATTTATTTCAGTGTATTATACTCTTTGAATAACATCTTCAAACCATAATCTTTCCAATTATAGCTTATACTCTTACTACCTCTACCACTACGGGATTTGAATCGACGATTGTATCTCTGTGATAATGTGGTATGGCAACTCGAACTGATGTACGTACGTACGAAGTTCCACGTTATTACTGACTGACAATACTATGCGGTTTGTACATTTTCGGAAAAATAATTGGGGAACTACGGCCCAGGAGTTCAGAAACCCATCTTCAAGCCAGCCAGTCATGAGACGGGTCTCCACTTGACCTACAAAGGGTTACATAGTTAAGCAATATAATTACCTTTTACACAATAGACGCAGCTAACAGACTAATGTATGAACACACACAAATAGTTGTTACTTGCACCAGAGAGAATATTTCTTATATTAGTAATAGTGGATTTGAATCATATTTGGTTTATACAAATTTACCATAACTATCTTATAAATATACTAACTTGGACTAGCAGGTGTCATAGATATTTATTTGAAAAACACATAACAGTAATAACAAGCTGTTAATTTACGTAGAACTTAGAGTGATGCGTAAACAAGTCATTCACTACATTTCCTAGTAGAATGGATATAGAACTTCACATTTGTCAACAAGTCATCACTCGTCATATATACTTCTCTGATTCATATACTACAGACAATTCGTCAATAGTTACTACCCAAACAACAGACAGAGAAATAACATCAGTTTGGAAAATAATTTATTCAATAACGCTGATGGTTTTGTCAAATATTCTAAAACGAGTGTCATATAGAAGGAAAAAAATCATCGTTCCAGACCAACTTTACCACAAGTTTGAGTAGTTTTCAAGTTTATCGCCAGCATTCATAGCAAGCTAAAAAAAATCGAATGGGGAAATCGCATACAATATATTGCTTAAATTTATTTAAGATATGGAAAATGAATGCAAAGACAAAAATCATGTGAGGAATGATGACGAGGAAATACAGTGGTTATATTCCTTTAGCAGAAAAAATGTACAATGTATTTAATATTGCGTTGAATCCATAAAATGATTGTGTAGGCATAGAATTGAAGGCACAAATCTATTTCTTCATCCAAACTAGGGAAACAGATAATACAACTACATCGACAAACAGGAAACTTCTGTAAGATGCGCAACATTTATTTTTCCCATTTGTTTTTAATTTGACAGCAAAATTGAAATAATTGTCAGATTTTTGGCAAGTTGTACGACTGAGATCTTACAACTAATCAACTCTCTCCAAAGTTCCTGCTTTAAAACGATTAACAATCCAGACTACAAGTTTTGATTTATATGGTAAAGAAGTCATCAACTAACGAAATATTTCATCGGCAGTGTAAAATTGTCCAGTTAGACAAGAAGAATCCTATGGTATATTGGACAATAAACCAAAAAGCCACAAAGGCTTTTTCTAACCAATAGATAAAGACTGGTAACAACCAAGTATCTCATATTTGTTGTCTACGTACATGCTAACCAAAAGTGACAGTTTACAGTAATTTATGTTGAGTGTGATTATAATGTACATTACAATGAATATATACAAGAAATCCGTAAGAAGTCACTAATTTGACAATTCGAAATCCTTCAGAAAACAAATTGTAGTTTATATAAATAAAATGCAACTAAAAAAACTACGAAAAGTAAGAAAAAATATTCTTACATGAGATGACTGCGATGATCTCCTTGCTCAGTAGAGTTATACACTTTCGTGATACCAAGTACATCTAACAAAGCCATGTCAAGTGGTCAAGATCAGATACAAAAGTATTCACCTTTCATTTCCAGATTAACTATATGGTATATGCGTAGACTTCTATATACGTAGGTCTATCAATTTGTTTCCGTGATACATGGACAGATGGTTTTTTCATAACACTCGGCAGATAGTGACCAACACTCATCGATCGTGTTGAGTGTCCGAAAAACACCTCCACATTAGGAAAGTCAATTCGTTCGAAATTAGTGTAAACTCCAGCAATTCCGGCAAATTTTTCCATATCACAGGAAAGATACTTAGAATTTAAAAAGCCATCAGTGAGAGATGAGTGAACTGCTTCAGAAACGGAAATGGTGTCACCATTAAAACGTTCTGCAGAGCGCTGAGCAAGTTGGGTCTTTATAAGTTGTTCACCAGTACCTGAAGTGACAACCCCAATACTAGAAAATGAACTGAGTTCTTCTGCCCAACAACCACAACCATATGTACACGCTTGACCTAGACGACCTTCATACTTCATTGCAATACCACCACTAGAAGATGCTGCAGCAATCTTCCCTTCTATATCAATACAGACAGCACCAACAGTATCAAATCTATGAACACAAGACTTTTTCAACTCAGGAACATTTTCATGATGATTAAAATGAGAATCTTTTGTAGTTGCATCTATTTCGTTCCCATTAAATAACCAACTTCTGTACTTTTCCCATGAAACCCGTGAATGTTTTGTGACGAGATCACTTTTATCAACAGGATATCCTTTTGAAGCAGCCCACAGATGAGCACCATCACCAACAAGCACGGATGGAGGAACGCGTCCTAACTCACCCAGAGGGTGATCAATTTGTGACTGTAACAGAAGCCTTGCAACCTTTACAGGATTCTTTATATTACGAACAGCTCCGATCCCGGCAAACTGAATGGTAGAGCCACTCATTATTCCCGCATCACATTCCACATAGCCATTAATGCTCAGATTACTACCGATCCCTGCATTAGTTAGTGGACAGTCTTCTAAATACGCTACAGCCGCTTCCACAGCGTCGATGGCACTTTTGTGATCAACTGACAAAAGTTTTCCGGCCAATGAACAAGCTTCGGAACACAATTTATTATATTTCTTTTCTTTCGATTTAGAGTGATATCCAGCACCAGCGTGCACGACGACACATGCCATGAGATGACAAATAAATGTGTACTACTGAAAAATGAGAGGAATTTTGAAAACAGTTAAGTCAGTATACGTTGAAACAACTCAGATGTAAAAGTTAAGTCTGATGACTCAAACGATCGTCTGTTAATTGATTAACAAACGTACTCTGAAATCATCTTGTGAACATTCGTCATAACTCGAGTAACTAAAATAATAACTTTGCTCGAAATATATGTTACAGTGAAATCAGAAGCATAAACAACAAAGACAAGCTAACTTACTGGTGAAATTGATGTAGCTTAGACAAATGAATGAGACGCAGTTGCAAAATGTCACATCAATACAATTAAACAAACTGAAGCACATAGATTTCAAATGGTTCAAATGGTTCAAATGGTTGCGGACGGAATAGAAGAAGCTTTCGCTTAACAGGCTTCCGTGTCTAGTAGCAGTGGATCACCAATACCGCCAGGCAAGAACCTAGGTATATTAACGATAAAAGAGAAAGAAAATGAATTGGTAAATCATAGTAGGATACTATCCTTAGTCCTTAAGAATAGATCAAGTCGCCTCTTACAGGACTCCTGGGAAGTTGCTTGGACTAGCTCAGCTGGCAGCGAGTTCCAGCATTTGACAACTCTTAAGGAGTAGAAATTGTGTCTGCAGTCCGTTCTACTATGTTGTATCTCCAGTTTTTGGGTGTTACCCCTTAGGTTAGTGTTGGGACTAAGCTTAATTAGGTGTTTAAGAGGGTGTCCAGGTGTGTTAAGGATACTGTAAGCCATTAGAATGTCACCTCTAAGACGCCTATACTCTAATGGGTAAAGGTCGAGTGATTGGAGGCGCTCATCGTAAGGTTTAAATTTGAGTCCCCGAACTGATTTCGTGGCTCGCCGTTGGATACGCTCCAGAGTGTCCTTATCCTTTTGGAGTGTAGGAGGGAATACTATGTTCCCGTACTCTAAATGGGGACGAATGAAACTATTGAAGATTATGTGAAAAGTTCTCCCGTCAAACTGACCAAAAATGCGCTTCAATGTTACCAGTGCAAGGTTTGCTCTAAAGGCATTTTTGTCACAGTTGGCGTAAGACTTTAAGTCGTAGGGCACCAGAACTCCTAAATCTTTTTCGACTCGGGATACTACTAGAGAGGAGTTTCCTAAGTTGTAACTGTAATCTGCGACGTGTCGCAGATGGACTACTTTACACTTTGAAGTGTTAAAGGTAAGTCCGTTGTTGTCTGCCCAACTTTGAAGTCGAGTCAGATCCTCCTGAAGTGCCTGTATGTCCTCTTGGTTGCGTATCTCTCTCCAAAGTTTCACGTCATCGGCAAAGAGCAGTATGTCTGACGTTACCTGTTGAGGAAGATCATTTATATAAATCAGGAAGAGGAGAGGTCCTAGTACTGAGCCCTGGGGGACCCCACTAGAACATTCCATAGCGCGTGAGAAATTGAAGTTCACCCTGACCTTAAAATGTCGACTTGTGAGGTATGAACTGAGCCAGTCAATTAAAGGTGGTTTGATTCCCAATTGTTTGAGCTTGTTAATAAGACATGTGTGGTTAACCCTATCGAAAGCTTTAGAGAAATCAAGGTAAATGATGTCTACCTTCCCCTTGCGATCAACGATGCTTGTCCATCTGTCCACCGCGGTCAGCAGGTTCGTCATACAGGAATAACCCTTCCTGAAACCATGCTGTTGGGGTGAGAAGAAATTTAAGGACAGCAGATAGTCATGTATATCATCGTATACCAGGGACTCCATGATCTTTGAAGGTATAGAGAGAAGGGCCACCGGTCGGTAACTTGAAGGTTCACTGCGTCGACCTCCTTTGAAGATTGGTGTGATATGAGCCAGCTTCCAAATATCCGGTAGTTTGCCCCGACTTAGCGAGTGTGAGAACACCACGTTAAGCGGTGTTGCCAGGATTGAAGCTGCTCCCCTCAGTATAGCAGAGTGGACCATATCTGGACCAGGAGAAGTGTCTGTTCTTAGGTGTTGTAGTTTACGGTACACCAAGTCAGCACTCAGTTTCACTACGGAAAGTCCTGTGCAGTTGCAGACAGAGCCGACATCAGTATAGTTGATGTGGGTCGGCTGAAATGTCCGGGAGTAGTGCTCAGCCAGAAGGTTAGCGGCGTCACCGTCATTATCTGTCGGGCCGTTAGGACCTAGCAGTTGAGAAACTCCAGTTTTGGCTTGACGAAGAGAGGCTGCATAACGGAATAAGCTTTTCGGATTGGAAATAAATTTGTCCATAAGCTTTAACTGGTACTGAAGCCTGTCTTCTCTTATAGCCTTCGTACATATGTTCCTTATATGTTTGTATTGCCTGTACTCGCCGTTGTTGTTGGTTCGTTTGTATTCTGCCCAACAGTGCCTTTTACGGCTTAGCAAACGAAGAGTGCGTTTTTTGATGATTGTAGGTTGCTTGTGCCTTTTGGGGACCGTTTGAGGAACTGACTGCTTAGTAGCACATGAGAGCGTGCGCAGTAAGGAGTCCCAATGAGTATCCACATCAAGTTGAGGTTGAACATCCCAATCCACCTGTTGTAGATAATCCTGTAGAGCTGACGTATTCAACCGTTTGAAGTTCCAGCGCCTGTTGTTGTCGGGATATCTTAGCTCTGTTTTGCTGACGAAACTGAAGGCTATAACGGCGTGATCGCTCTTCCCCAGGGGAGCCAGAATTGAGAGGTTGTCGACTAGAAATTCTTCATTTGTAAAAACACAGTCTAAGCGCGACGGTGTCTGACCGTTTCTCCAACGAGTGTGCGACTTCACATTTTCGTGTAGTCCCAAGTCCTCAATGAGGTTGAAGAACCGAGCTTCGATTGAATTTTCACCTCCAGTATACGTATGTTCCGCGAAGTTGACTCTAGGAAGATTGAAGTCCCCTAGAATCAGGATATGAGTAAAGCCGAGACGCGTAGAGCGGGATAGTCCCTGCAGCATGCGACTGTCATACTCGATGTCGGCAGTGGGCTTCCTATATATGACTCCGACTAAGCACCTCGAAGTAGTGGACAATCTCATAGAGCACCATAGGGATTCCTCAAGATTGTCAAACTCGTGGTTGTGGATTTGATGTACCACCAGGCCAGATCTTATGTATAGGGCTACTCCACCCCCAATTCCTGTTTTTCTGTCATTGCGAAACAGAGACATCCCAGGTATTGCTAGCTCCTGGTCCGAATACTGAGGAGATATCCAAGTTTCAGATATTCCTATCAGATGAACTTTATTAGCGTTGCTGAGTTCACTTAGTTCATCCATTTTATTTGGTAGACTCGCGGCGTTCATGTATAAGCAGTTAATGCTTTCAATTTGAAACGCGTGAGCTTCTTCCTGTTTATCTATGAGAGCCTTGCGTGAGTGGACAGGCAACCCACCTATATAAGTTTTGTCTAATTGGTAGGCCCTGTCCTTTACACGTTTTTTTTGTCTTGAAGACAGTCCACAAGTGGAATGGTCAGTTCCAGCTCGCCTTTGTGCTTGATCCTGGCGTCGTATGGCCTATCCGGGTGCATATGGATCCCAGTTGGCAACCGACGTCTGTTGACACGAAATGCTTCCAGAGTTGCAGCCGCCATATGGGAGGATGGAAAAGTTATCCTCAATAGTCGGGGTCTAGGATCCCCATCCTTCTTGGCTAGTCTCATCACATGCTGAGACAGTATGTTTTTAAGCCTCAAGGACTGTTTGATGAATTTCCATTCCCGAATGTCAGAGTTTGCTTGAGTAGGGTCCATGTTTTCCGGTACACCTTGCACGATGATATTTCTTCCGCGGAAAAACTTCTCTCGAGAATCTTTAGGGACGTTTCGGATGAGATTGCGCTCAGAATATGGTATGTCAGGCAGTATTCTGACGTTCCCATCGGATTTCAGTAGATGACTGGCCAGCAGGACATCCTCTACTTCGGTAGCATTCTTGAGTGTTACACGGAGTAGTCTCGGATGATTTTGGTGTTTAGAATCCTTTCCCCGAGTGAGCCGTGTGACCGTCAAAGGCTCTATTCTAGGGAGTTCGAGCTTTTTGTTCAGTTCACCCCAAAGCATCCTGTCATTTTTGTCCTGCAAACTGAGAGGAAGGTCAGGATTGTCTATGAGGTTCATGATTATGAGGGAGTCATCACGGACCGTTGTTGTTTTCCCAGCTCTTCCAGTGCGTTCAGATTCAGTACGTTGTTGTTTGGAGGTCGAAGCAGGTTTTTGAATCGTAGGCTTTTTAATAACCGGGCGGACATTTTTGGGGGTAGACTGAGCGATCAAAGCACCAGTTGATGTCCGTACAACACTTGGGATGTCAACCTTGGACGGTGACACCTGGTCCTTATTAGCTCTGATGGCGTGGTTACAGTCACCTGCCGAGTTTTTAGGAACCACCGTTGCGTTTGAGGACCCTGAACTGGGAGATCCAATTTTAGTGAGGGAATCAATTATTGTCGACGTAATGATGGTGCTGAGTTTCAACATGTCATCATTAGTGCTAATGCGCGTTCCATCGATGGTTGACTTGTCAACATCTCTGTTCTTATTTTCGTTACGCGCCCTCGTTTGCCTACCTATTTTATGGCTATCTGTTTCCAAGTTTACTGACAATTTGTTCCGCAGACCTGTCAGTAGAACAATGATATTGCTCAGCAGCACTACAGCGTCCGTGTTGCACGTGACGCACACCCACTTACGGTCCGATTTGCTGAGTCTTTTGTAAGCCGTTGCCGTAAGATCTGTGCACGTTTCGTGAAACCAACCTTTGCAGTTGTCACACTGCATGCCAGATGTAACAGCGAAACGGCATCCAGGTCTTTTACATGAATTTTTCATGGCTGTATTTACGTAAACTGTGCTTAAGACCGTTAAAAATACACTAAAAACCACACTAAAACGGGAAAAATGTATAAAAACGGATGAGATAAAATGAAATAGCCTTTACGTGAAAAACTGAAAATAAACCGAATAGTAAGCTGAGGCAAAACCGCAGTTAACTATTAAATTGGGTGAAACTCAAAAAAAAGTAATCTACCGAACTTGTAGCTCAGAATAGATTGTTTAGATCAGAAATGGTACTTTTGTTGCGTAAGAACACAGCAAAAGTTTGAGAAATGCAAACCACGTTAGGACTAAACTTCCCGTTCGAAAAGCGCGCGAAGAATATTTTGATATCTCGAAAAGTAAACTCAATAAATGATTGATAAAACCACCTCAAGACAAGAAAAGTTTTTCAACCCAAAGGAAGAAGCCTAAATTTTCTGAAGAGTTCAAGATGCCATGAAAATACGTCCCTCTGAAGAT